AAAAAACTTGACAATTGATACCTGACGGTCGGCAATAACCAAGGCAAATGCACTCATTAGGTATATTTTTCATTGTCGCCTTCCAAAGTGTGCGGCAATCACGTCATTCGAACACGGAAAACTACTAAACAGAAACACAAAATGAACTAGATAATGTTCAAGGAAGAAATGGGCAAATAAAAGATAATATACAATTATGAAATGAATTTTTATGAAAATCGTGTAATATTGATTGCAAAATTGCGACATTGTTTTATCTATTGTGGTTCGGCAATTGGAGACAAGACTAAATTGTCCTTCACAAAAATGAACAAAGTACAACATGAGCGATTGGAGACAAAATCAAACATTGAGCGTGACTGGTCATTTATTTTACAAACGAATTTGTAGTTAATCGCCTATGAATTTGACAGAAAATGTTGTTTTGAAAACCTATACGCAAAAAGGCTTGCGCTGAGCCACTGCTTGAACCACAGTCGCAAAGTCTACACCCGAAGACCCACGGCTGGGTGTGCTGAACGCAACAAGCAACGACCTAACAGTTGTTGCAGTCAAAGAAAAGGCGTACTGGTGAAGCCTGATTATTTACTCCAAGTCAGGCTTTGGATTCATGGCGGTGGCCTAAGTCTGGCTATGCATCTGTTGACGGGTCTCTCCTTGATGTTTCCGTGCGCGTCATTGTGGTGATCATAGAATACCGTCTGCAGTGAGTGCTAGGATCTGGACCAGTAATTAGAGAATTATAGAATGCGGTATCCGGCACCCACCAACCCCCTATTTTCTTAATTCTCAGATACTGTTGTTATGTTCGGGGATATCAGACCGACCCCCCTTGCACCATGAAAACAATTCCACAGTTTTCGCTAATACAAGAGGTTATTTTGTTTGTTAATTTGTGTTTTTTCCCCAATTTTTTCGCACAACTTTGACTATGCTGAATTTCAAAAGGTGACGATTATATTCGCGCTGCATACATCTAAACACAGGCAGGCATCCTACACATTACTTCATACTTTATTTCCCTAGCTTGGGCTACTTTTCCTAAAATATATTGCTAGTGCAGAAAATCGATAAAGTCAACATAAGCTTGTGATGAAGTATCTCCTTAAATGTCAAATAATTTACCTCGCTGCCTCAGGAGTCATATTCAGCGACATCTCACACAAAAGAATGTTAACACAATCAGAGATAATACAAACATCAATATTCGAGAGAGAAATGGTTCAGAAGTGAATCAGTGGGCAGTTGGACTGGCAGTTAGTTTCTAAAACTGTGAACAGCGCCCTCAGTTGACCCTAGTCAGTCAGGCCAGGCCAAGCGCCAGCAAAGCGTGGAATATTCAAATGGTTAAGCATGCTCTCATGACAGTCAAAATTGGCAACACTTCGGGTTTTACTTTGTATCTCTTAGCTATCCCAGGAAATCCCTCTCTGGAACTAAATGGTAAGTTGTCGACTCAGACATCCTCAAGTTTATGACCCTTGACCCTGGCCTTGTCCTGACGCCCTTTCTGGTCTTGACAACGGCTGGGACCACACCCTTTCATGCTAGACAGACTTGATGCCAACTGTGACCGTTCCTCCAAAGTGAACAACTCCTGTCGTGACTACTACTCCCGATTCATTGGGGAGATCAGTCCTCTCCATATGGAGGAGTCGACTCTAATCCACAGCCTGATCGGGGTGAAACTCATCCTATTTGTCAAATCGGCTAAGTTTAGGAATAGGGTGTTTGAGATGAAAGGCACTTACAACAAAATGTTTTATTGCAAGCAAATGACGAAGAGTAGGCCTAAATGTATGAAGGAACCTAAAACCTTTATCACAAAGAGATGGACGTTTCAAGCTCTGATAGTTTGGGACGATGCATAAACTTTGATTCCCCAAAGTTCAAAAAGTGTGAGTTACAAACGTACACTGAAATCTGAAATAGACATGGCTAAGTTGAACAACAGAGAATTGGTGATCATAGCACAACATGGTTACTAGCACTTTTCCCAAAGTATCATACGAATGAAGCTGTTTATAGTAACACCCCCCGGGGGAGGCAAGGGACCTGGAAAAGGGATCTTTATTGAGACATGTCAACCATTGTGGCTGGGATTGAAGGACTTCAGAACTTTACTAAAAACACCTTTACTAACAAGTTGAAGATAACCCCCCAACTCCATTTACGCAAAAGTAATATAAATCATACAAGAGTTATATACAACAAAATATTTGCTTTAGGATTAGCAAGATGCCAAATCTTGACTGCAAATTTCCTTAGACTGGTTTAACTCATATTGAATATTTTGATTAATTATACTTGAGGTCTTTGAATGATATTTTTTAAAACATCACTTGATGCTTTATCAAAAACCGTGTTTGCCATTTTTGCATCCCACTGGGCATCAAAAGAAGTTGTTTTAAAACGGTTATAGTTTGTGATGATGCCTCTACGGCAGGGTGTGATAGGCACATATATGCCATTCTGGATATTGAGCTTCTCGAAAAGTCACATGGCATTGATGAGCAGTTACATTATGACTGAGTCTTCATTTCATTCTTGGAATGTATTAACTTGAGTTCCACTCAGAGCGAAATAATGCAAGAATAACTGATGAACTGGAAGAATGAATTTAATTACTGGTGTAAAGATGACGAGCAAATATACCCATCATGCAAAGAAGAATAATGAAGAATATAAAGGAGCAATGAGATGGAGGAGACCAACACAAAGCAAAGCTTCTTGAGTGCAAATCCCCTTGATAATGACGGCGAATTATGAAGACAAAACTGTAACAGTGACAAAACCAAAAACCAACCAACAAACGAGTGGGCCAAGTCGATTCATACAAAATCTACCGGTAATCACAAAGTGACATCAGGTGAAACATTCAGAAATCATACATCAGATCTGGTTTCGGGATAAAGAAAACATGAAATTGTGAATAATGTATAAAACAAAATATATGTAAAAGGACCAAGGCAAATAGAATGAAAAAAAAAATAAAAGGATAGGACAAGAACTCACGCAGGGACAAGGACATTTTGCAAGCTGGAAGGAGAAATGTTACAGTTGCGGAACCGTTATTAATGCTGAAGGCAATCTGCAAAGTCTATTTTGAATGAAACATTTGCAGTCTAAACCAATTCTAGTCCTCTGCAATCCTTCCAGAACGTCTGCTCTTCTAATGAAGCGCTAGCGTGTAATGGACCGCGGACACATGTTACCCACCGTTATATCAACACGCGTTGAAAGGCTAACATTTCAAATCACTGTGAAGTATGTGCCCGAAATTTGCTTATCCATTCCAATTTCAGATCGCCAGTGCACTCTCCGTTACGTCCACTAGACCCGTTAACAGGGCCTTATACGTACATGTACACTCCTTCGTCGATATACTGGCCCCTGCACCGATTGATAGTGATTTCTTTCGATCATGTTTATCTGGGATGTCCAGGGATGTTATTAGACATCTGCTGGGTTTTATGAGTTAAAATTGCACAAGTATATTCACTACTTACGGGGCTATCTATTCCCTAGGTTGCTATTCGCAGAAAACTCGCTTTTCCTCGGTCGGAGGAAAACATTTTTCCTTCAGTTGCATTTTTCCCACTCCGGACAGGAAACTAGCCAAGGGCGATGTTGCGTACAGGTATTACAAAGGGACCGGTGGCTAGCTGCGGTTTAACGTGGGCGATAGCCCTGTCAACATGAATGCTGAATATTTAAATTTTGTCAGACCAATTAAGTTGCGGCGAGAAGCGAATAAAACACAAGTACCTATCCTTGGTACGTATCTGTCGATCACAGTAATATAATATATTTTTCAATGATTTTCATGGACAAATCATTTTACGGCAATTTATCTCAAATCAGCGGTTACTGTATTAAATTTTAGATAAATGAGTAATGAAGAAAAAACGCAAAATTTTCTCTCAGCTTCTGCTTGATTGGTGCATTGAGCGGGCATCGTTTCCTCATTTACATACACTCGGCAGGATTCTACTGGATTCATTCCCCGCTACCGGCCGCGTAATTTTTTCCTAGGAAGGTCAGGGTTAGAAATACGCGTGGTGAACTGCAAGCTCAACCAATTTAGTGGACACTTACAAACTTAAGTGCTGAGGTAAATGTCGGGCTTTACTTCCCTATCATAAAAACATCCGCCAACCAACTAATTCCCCCAAGAAAAATAATTTCTACATGCAGACTCGAACCCTCGGCTTGTGGGCTGCATGTATAAGGCTCTTCAAACAGAGCTACCGTGCAAGTCTGTCAGGAAAGCAATTTTGTTGTGTCTTTTATGATAATTCCAAAGGTTAAGATACGCACATTGTATTGTACTTACCACTAAACTTCCTAGGAAAAAATTACACCTATCAGTCCCTACGTTCAGAGGACGTCTGTAAGACGTCTGAAGGCTACGTACGAGACGGGAACCAGTCTAATTAGCTGCGACTCAAATAAGGCTGCACCTGAATCTCTTGTCTAGAGCTAGGTCTTGGTCTTCGCTCCATTGGAAATGCGTGGAGATGCGTAGACAATAGACCTAGCCGTAGCTCTGGAAGCTCTGGACACGGCCTATGCCATAATCTTCTATGACTGCTTGGATCGACAGGTCCTCTCGCGGATCTGAACGAAATTCGTATGTACTGAAGTCCAGGTGCAAACTAGACAGGCTCTCCGTACAGGCTACCATATAAAGCAGTCTGTGTAATGCGCCCCCAGTATGGTGTGGTTCAACTCAACCCACCCCCACAAAACACTTTTAATTTAAACGGCCGGTAAATATTCCGATTTTTCGAGTTCCCTCCAACCCCCTTCCCGCCGTAACGGCACTCCAAACCGTACACGTGTGTTTGAACAGTTACGTTTTGTATGGCTTGGTCACTCAGCAAAATGTGCTGGTCAGTGTTTCTTCAGTCGGTGTGTCAGTCAACCGACTGACACACAGACTGAAGACTGGAGACTGAAGTTGGATCGAAAAAAAGATGTATAGCATTGCACTTCTATTCTGAGTATAACATACATGACTTGGTGAAGTTTAATTAACTGACAACCTTGATATAATAGCCTGCTAAGATTATGCGAAACTCAACCTACTGTCAAACACCACTGTGGAACACTTCCAAGCATATTGGACATCTACATTAATGTCTTTACTTTTCTCAGTAAACCTTAAACAAAAGTTCTTTAAGTTAGTTTTTGTTCAATCTAACAGCGCTGGAAACCACCATGACAGAAGCATACATGGGTAACATTGCTGAGGGAACGGTCTATAATAAGGGGTAGTATACAAGTTTTATGACTGTATTTAATGTTAAGAAAGTGCTGTCTTTTTTGCAGACGTCTGTATCTTTCCCTTTATAACGTTGAAAGCTGGTCGATTAAAATCCACTCCATCGAACATGTACACATAATAACCATTAGATACACGATACTTTTGATAGTAACTGTAACCTTCTTTGTTAAACTTGTCCATCTGATAAAAAATCATCTTTTGTGATATTCTAAACAATCACATGTTTCGAGTTTTTCAATTAATAAAAAAATAAAGCTTTTTCTATCTAAAAACGACATGCAATAAATGTAAATACATGTAAGTTTTCAACATCTACAAACCAATGAACCACTGGCTACGTCTTGATTTATCTTTAATCTTAAACGTGTAAACGAAAATTGATAAGTGCTATCAAGTTTAAAAGAGTACACAATATTATGACCTTTAAGTACTGAGTAAATGGCGACGGACAAAATACTACAGACCCACTGAGGATGTCACTGCATACTTTCCCTTTGTATATGTAATAACAGCCGAATTTGTGGTGTTTAAGACCACAAAAACGTTTATCCTCACTGTCTATGATGGTGAATATTGGAAACAAGGGCCCATTCTTAGGAGCTTCCTTAGGATTGATCCCTTTCGACGTAACCCTAAAACTTCCACAAATTTTAAATCTTGTTTTGATTTATCAGAGATTACAAAATCAGAGGAAGATCACAGGTGGGCTTTTATTGTGCCGTTTACCTACATACAGTCAATGAACTTACAAATAAACATATGAATTCTACGGTCTTCAAACCTGTGCTTGTCCGGCTGTTCTAAACATTTCTACTAATGCCTAAACCTGCATTCGTACCCCGATCGAATATGAAACATGGAGCATATACGTTTCATTTTCCTAAATAGAATGAATCACAATTCATCTAATTCTACATTTCAGAAGGTGGAAAATAAACACTCTATTACAAACCAAATCTACAATACATGATCCGTAGCCTTCAAGAATAAACGAGAAAGAGAGAGGGGGAGACGAGCATCTGTTTCCTCTCAATACAGACGTTCCGGTTCCTAAAGGATCTAGAAAATGCAATACAAACAAAAAGTGTGCAATCTGAAAATGATCATTTGTCTAATAATGTAAAGATGTGGTTTGATTCTAATTTAATGCGGTAAAGACCGCGAAATCGTTTGCACTTCAAGTGCAAACTAAGGCCCCAAAAGTATCCAGTTTCTGATCAGCGCGCGTCGCCATTGACCCGCGCGTCGCTGCACCACATTTGGTTCCAGCCCCTGACCAGAAACTGGAGATACTCTTTTCTTTTGCCGAAAAGAAAGTTGGCAGAGATTTTCTCTTCATATTAATTTTCCTTTCATCGTTGCCATCTTCCCGTGCTGTGCTGAAACCGTTACTCCTGGCATATATGCGGTCTTTAACAATTCTCGCACTAAAAAATTCTGATTTGTCACTCCATTTAAAATGACACGTTCGATCACTCAGTAACTTGTATCAGACCATCGCTATCACACCACTTATCGAAAACGATAATAATAATTTCATTTCAAAGGAATTGTTTAAGTACATAACTTTATGTTAAATAAGAATACATGTGTATCACATTTTGAATGCAGCATATAATACCAACCTTTATTTCTTTTTAACTGGTTCGAACTAGAAAAATGAGTAGGCCTACAATAAACAGAAGAGTGGAGTAAACTAGACAATACTTTCGGAAAGAAATAACTAAAAGTGCCTTTATACCACCGGCATTCACAATCCTGATACATCACTGATACTTTGTTTTTCGGTTACATCTTTGTATCTTCAAATTCAGTCGTGAACCCTTCATTCACTTCATATGCGACATGTTTGTTAATGTCACCGTTTGTAGGCTGAAACCCATCTTTACCATTCAGGGCAGCTCTCTTGCCTTTGTACTTGAACTTGTACCCCATCACGGCCCCACAAAGGATGACCATGACACACAGCAAGGCTATGGTAAGGAAAATGAAGACCTTGATTAGCTTCTCGGCTTGTTGTTGGGTGAGCTTGAGCCCCAAGCTCTCAACGAAAAAGGTCTCCGAGGGAGTGCACTCCGGCTTGTCTGCTGACATTGTTGGCGGTTCCCCTGGCCCCGGCCGATGGAAACAGTACTCCCGAGCTGCTGAAGCTAGCTTGGGTAGGTAGTCGTTCCAGAACATGACCTTGTCCTTCCTGTATCCCTGCCCAACCGTGCTGTTATTGAGCTGGATCAGGAGGTAAGTCTCTGAGTCGCCATACTCCGGCCAGTAGGTCAGGTTGCTGGCTTGAGCAGTGGTGTTAAGATCTGGGTTGACATTTGGGTCTCTGGAGAAGAAAGAAGCGATGAGGTATGATTGCAGCTTTCGACTATTAACCTCCTGACATTTAGGGGAGGTCGGGGCAAAGACAGCATCAGGGCATGTTATCTCCACGTCATCATGGTTGAGTGTGTTTTTATTTTTCCCACCTTTAGATAATACCATTCTCGCGAGACCTCGTTTTGGACGTAAAGATTAAAAAAACTAGGTTTTGAAATGAAAGTACAAGTACAATAATGAAACTTGCATTTGAGTGCAGCGTGTAAATACGTTTCTGTTATCGAGATTTTTTGTTGTGATGGCATTCGATGGGGCGAAATTTACCCTCTGGCTCTATATGAGCTTGTAGAGAGAACCACATGTAATAAAATCAGTGCTTAACCCACAAAACAGATCACTGCAAACAAGTTAGATTGTTACCAAAAGTAAAAATTCCAAAATTATCCGACATGTAAACGATAATAGTTTGACACTAATGCTGCTTGAGCGTCTTTGTCGCGCGCTGTTTACAACTTATCTTCTGTTCAGCACTGCTGTGAATTACAAGTGGATCCTGATATAAATTTCAGTCTATTTCGATCTGCATGTTTTATACTATCCAAGATAAGGCTATTAAGTGAAAATTGCAACAATTGCCAAATGAGGTATGGCACCAATGCAGTAGTCAGCTGCACAACTGACAACTGATACACTTTGAAACTTAAAATTCCAATTTGTAATCATCACTAGAAATTCATTCCTTTAACCATGCCCAGTTCTGAAGAAGTTCGACCAATAGCGTATGACCCTGTCGCTCAAATCCCGTTCTCCAACAGAAAAAGATGACCTCATGGTAAACGGCAACCCCAAAACGTGAGGTAATCCCTCGCCATGGGGAGCCAGCGTAAGGCCAGGGTACCTGGCCATCGATTTCACTTCGATGGTCAAAGATGGCCCAGCGAAGTGAGGACAGGGAACGTTGGTTCCCGACGATATTGCCGATGTTGGATAGGTAATTAAAATCTAACATGAATTCAACCAGTGCTGTTATGTAATCGAAATCCTGCTCCCTTCCCTGGACGTTTGCGTACTCCCTGATAGCTGCAGTTTAGTTTTACCAACCCAACAAGAAGACCAAGTGAATCTTTAAACTGAACTCTTGTGACGCCTTTCTTACTATTGAATGTCGGTAAAACATCTTTTGCAACTTCAAGGATGACTGAACCGTCGCCGGATGTGTGTAAGATCAAGAAATCATGGCTAAGATTGGGATGGCCTACCGCTGATGATACAAAGACATCATCAATTACTGGTATTCAGACTGCACTAAGGGGACCAAGATCACGTAAAGCGGTCGATAATACATCTTCCATTGACTTGTTCCGTAAACACTGCATGAGCTCATCAGTGGATGGAAAACTGCAATCCAACGCCCTGGGTACTTTCTTTGACACCTCTGCAACGTAGCTACTAAAAAAACAAATAAATATTTGAAATAGGTCCACTGTGCGAGGCCACTCGCTTAAAAAGGGGGCGACTTTTGTTCGCAAACAAATGAAGCGAAACCGCATCGGCCCCTGCCGACTGGCCGAAGAGGGTGACTCTGGACGGATCGCCGCCGAACGCCGTGCATAAGGCACCCCCTTAAAAATGTGGTAATCAACTCCACCCAAGCTATGCTTCGCCCCGCGAAGTTGCGCCAGTTTGGTATGAACTATCGTATTACAGCCAGTGCCCGCCTTAACAGCCCAGATTACACACAAGGCAAACATTGGGGGGGGGCACCATTTTGTCCCGTCACAAGTGGAATGAATAACACTGGGAAATATTACTAGCCTGGAGATGTCATGGTATTTTATAGCATGGATGACCAAGCACTTAATATTGAGTGATGGTAACAAACACAATGTAAAACCAGCATACCGATCCATGCTTGATACCCTACGGGAAAAGTACAACGACAAAAGGTCACTGGCAAATATTTTTCAATTAAGGCGCGTCGCTGTTCAGCATCCCAGAAGGAGACTCAAACTACAATTGAAAGGATGTCTTATCTCTTGGGAGTTGGAAGAGTTATTAAACCGAGGGCACTCTCCTGGTACAGCGCAATTCACTCTGTCAGGGGACTAGCTAACTTACCGATTGCTGCCAAAATGACTGTTCAAAGAAGTAGCAAAACAACACACACACCCAAACGCAGCCATTGAATCATCATCCATATTTATGATTATGAGATTAGAAAGAAACATGCGGTAGGCATTTAGAAGAAAAAAGTATATGATAGCCTTAAGTCGACTCTTGTCATTCTCGATTGAAAAGTTTCTTAGTATATTAACAATTTCACCCACTTGTGTAACGTTCACCAATTACGATTTATGGACTTTATGCGTAGCGTTGACATGTCTAAAGTTCGCCCTCGACATTGTAATGAAAATTTTACCACGTTTCTGGATAAGTTTAAAGTTTGTGGTGACATTTGAATGAGTTCGACGGTTTTGAAGCAGTTTTCTACTGGTATTGGTAATGGTATTGTCTACTAAAGTGTGTTTCTTGTTCTTCTACTTGTGTGTATCCCAAGGATGTGGTTTTCAAAACTCTGTTCTGGGTTATGTGTACATTCTTTAACTTTTAATGAAAAAATAAAATAAAAAAAAACAGCGCTTTGCGCCAGATGAAAGATTTAGAAGAATATTCCTGCAGGTTTAAGTTCAATCTTCAACAACAAATCGTCTCCAAATTGTTTGTTTAAAGCAGTTATTTTGGCCATGCTTATACTTAGGGCTTTTGATTTGCCTCTTTGACTTGGATAAGTGGTTGCTATTGCCGGCATATTATGGCAGTATATTTCCTGTTCTGCTGCTTCAAGGAGACTATGGTATGGTAAAGAACGTGCTCATATTTTGAGGGAACAAAAGTTTATTCAATCGTGTATATCCCTTTCGGTGTAAATGTTGCAAGAATAAGGACAAATGACCAATGAAGAAATATTTATCAAGGTAATTTTTCGTTTTATTTGTACTATGCAAAGATTGGGTAGGATATCCCCAAACCAAATTTTGAATGAAAGGACGCACGCTTTCTTTTTTCCGATTTTTTCCGTAATTTTCGTCACGTTGCAACATATATTATTGTGCATTTCCAGAAAGTCACAATTCGCATCGTTTTCCCAAACACGCCTCGGAGTGGTCACAGATAATACTTCCAACTTTCTCAAATACTAAGACAAATAATTTCCATTTGTTCGAATGATTTGGATTTATTAAGTGTGCTTTATCTGACTTAGCATTTAGCCTACGAAACTGCTACCACGTTCTTAAAGTACACTACAATCGGTTCTACTTACCCGCTTTTAGCGAAATTTGACCAATAAAAAATGATTCTGTCACTCAGCAGCCTTTCCTGGTCGTTGAAAAATGATCCTAACTCAGCAAGTCCATTAAAGGGTAAACCAAAGAGGTACGACAAATCCTCGCTGTGGGGAACGAGGTTGAGTTTCGGCAGCTTGGAATTGGCTGAGCTGCGATGGTCGAAAATGCTTACATATATGGAGGGCGAATTGGGCAAAGTATTTATTGCTCTCTGCATTGGCGCCAAGTAGTTAGAATCGAGAAACATGTCCACCAAAGCCTTCATTCTTGCAAAGTTTTCGTCTTCAATAGCACGATTGATATACTTGTAACTAGTAGCTTTGCCTTTCACACCACTTCCAAGCAGATCATTCAAGAAATGGATCCACTCTTCTTTAGTGACCCCGACATCCGTATCAATGTCATTAGGCAAAATTACATTTATCACATCCAGTCCTGTAGAGCCATCTCCAGATGTGTATAGGAGTAGGACATCATGCTGAAGTTCAGTGCATCCTGTGTTCAGGGACAAGACATTGTTATCCATGACAGGAAAGAATATTTGTCGAGAGGTTTGGCTTGCAACGTACTGACCTGCAGAGAGCAGTTCTTCCATGGATAAATTCCGCAGACATCGAATCAGCTCCGCGTTGTCTATCGTTGATACAGAATGCACACCGGCTGCCTTGCCGATCTCTCTTGCGGTCTTATTGACAATCTCACCCTTGCCAAGGGCATAACTGGGTAAAAACACACCACTGTGAGCGGCTGCACGATGGAATAGAGGTCTACTGTTGTTCGCTAAAAGATGCATGAAGACAGACGACCCTCCCGCTGATTGTCCGAAGAGGGTGACTCGGGACGGGTCGCCGCCGAACGCTGCGATGTTCTCGTGAACCCATTGCAGGGCCAGCTGCTGGTCTAACAAACCAAAGTTTCCCGGTGCGTTGTCGTCATTGGTGGATAGAAAGCCAAAGACATTGAGGCGATAGTTGATGGTGACCACAACGACTTTTCCCCGGACGGCCAGAGCAGACACGTCGTACCCGCTACCCTGACCCGTCTCAAAACTCCCACCGTGGATCCAAAACATAACCGCTGTGCTACCCTTACTAATGTTGAACGGAGTGTACACATTTAGCGTCAAGCAATCTTCACTTATAATTTGTGCTTGTTTGGGGATATGAACGACGTAATCTGGATAAAACTGGGCCACACCAGAGATATTCTGAGGACACGAGGGTCCAAAACTGTTGGCATTGAATATTCCATGCCATTGAGACTTTGGGACAGGTGCGCTGAATCTCAAAGCCCCTACCGGAGGCTCAGCGTACGGTATACCCAAATATACATACAAGTCATTCGTTGTGTCGTTGCCATCGTACGATAGGTGGAGTCCTCTGACCAAGCCCGAGGTAGTGTTGACCATTGGGTTGCAGTGAGCAAGCAGCGGAAAAAACGCCATCAAAACACAAGCGACAATTTGGGAGAGGGATGGAGCGACAGCCATGCTTTCCGTTTTCTATAGAATCGAACTGCTTTAGAGAGAGCACGGCAAACTGAACAATTCCTTCTCGATGGCACTCACATCCAGCTCACGTTGCCCTGCGTTAAACTGGCACTCAGTCACTGAATTCGTACAATCTCGGTAAGAGGTCAAAACACTTCACTTAATTCTTCG